GCAAACCATCAAATGCATCCATGAGTGAAATAAATGTTAAAAAATCTGTCAAGTTTGAAAATATCGTTCATTTTTGTGTAAAAGAATCCAACACAAACACACACTCTCACACTCTCACACACACACACTCACTCACACACTCACTCACTCACACACACACACACACACACACACAATCATGGGTCAGTCACAGGGTTTTTGGTTCAAGGAATTTAATATGAATTCACACAATCGGATTCTAACCGAATAAGATGTTATTTAAAAAAATAAATGAGATAGTTTGTACTACTGATAAAAAGTCATAGTATTTACATAAAACTTTAGACTAGTTAACTTTTACAGGACAAATGAGATATAACTGGTCCATCACAGTAAATAGTTATGTTCGGGGGATAACACTGAGCCCATGTGTAACACTGCGTTGCTGTTCCTCTCTGAGGTTGTTTCTGTGGTGATCTGCTCATTGTTGCCTGAGGCTCTGCCACAATCCGGATCAGAGTCTCCTTCCTGGAACCTGTCCTGGCTGAGCAGCTGATCAAGAGCCAAGTTGTCCACTGGTCTGGGGGAGGTATTTAAAGACCCTCCCCCCTCCGGTTGCTGCTTAGTAATAAAGTCTGACTGAAGAAGGGCGTGGACCTGGGTAAGGAAGGACTCTCCCTCCTCATCTGGCAGAGGCTCCAGGTACCTGGCAAGAGATGAGAGCATCTAAAGGGAGAAGGTTGAGTCGAATGAAAGAGAGACAATAAAAGCATTAAAGATCAGATTAAACCTGTTAAAACAGGTTCTACATTAGGAGACTATAAATAAAAATAAAGATTGCAAGACATGACTACTCCCCAAGAGTGAAGCAAAAGAATCTGGATTGCCACCTGGTGGCTGACTGCAGTATAGGGCATAGACCCATCCGCCTCCTCCATGTTAATGGATGGGACATGGGCCAAACTGAAAAGTCACATCAAATATTTTTTCTTAAAGATGGTTTCTGTTATTGTAGTTTTTTATCATGCCAATATGGTTTCAAATGTTCATTTTCTGCTAGGTTTTGTTTTAATTAGTAAGTTATTGCTATAAAAACTTGGTGAAACATCATGATTGACAGCTGAGACAGATTCCTGATTGGTCAACTGCATGTAATGACAGGATCTCGCTAACACATCTCCATCCCTCAATCACTACTGTGCAGACTCTGGCTAAAAATGTGCAAGACAGCAGCATTCACAACTGGGTGGGATATTTTAGCTTAATTTCTGGATAGTAGAAGGAAGTGGAGACACATCATCCATCTTTATATACAGTTCATGGAATGAACATATAAGCGGTTAGACTGACCTTCTCCAAACAGGTGAGATGAGAGTCTTTCCGGAAAAATCTGTCCAACTGGACAGTCCTGACCAACCACAACAGGAAATAACTGTTACAACACTCAAACATGTTCAACATCACAAAAAGAACATTTGATGACATGTGTCAGAATGTTCACTACAGTCTCGTGTCTGACTCACCCGGCTGTTTGAGAGTATTTGTGGATGATCCACTGAGCTCTCCTCATTGTCTGTTCCCAGTCTGGGATGTCTTGTGATGAAAGGAAGTCGAATCTGTAGGGCAGCTCTGTGTAGTAACAGAGACACACTGAGCCAGAGGATAAACTGCACAAGTCTCTGACCTACATATTCAGTTTGATTTCAACGACTTAACTTTCTTGATCTTAACTATAAAATATGTGCATCTGTTTGTGTGTGTGTGTGTGTGTGTGTGTTAGACATACTCTGGGGACCTGAGGGCTCCTTGCTCTCTTTCACCAACAGACAGGTGGTTTGGGAGTGGGGGGATGGATTTGCTGGGTCATACGGGCTCACAATCATACCAATGAAGGGGGCTCCGCCGCGTGAGAAATAACTCTAGAACAATGAGGACACAGGAGATCAGATCTCCCGACACACACAGACTAACGTGTACATAGCCTCTCTCGGATTAATTTACCTGGAACTGGTCCTGTGTGTTTATGTCCCGTACTGAAGGGTTGGGGTGGAAGGTGGGGTGTGAGTGGTACCAGCCCACAACACTGAAGCCCAGGGACGACAGCACGTCACAGGCCTGTGTCTGAGACACCGGGTCCATCTCACACTGCAAACCTGTACTCACACTGTTGCACGGCTCTGCCACGCAAATCTAAACACAAACACAAGGAGCAGTTTGTCACTTAATACCAATTTAAAAATACATAGGCAATAAATAATCATTTCAGAAAGTACACAAAAGCAAACTTGAAAGACACTAGGTGCTGGACAGAGGAGACACAAATTTGTAGTGAATCATGAGAATGGTGTGCAGACATTCTCGTCATCTGATAAATGATAATTTCTCATCTTTTCACAGTTGTTAAACTTCTCCTCCTACCTTCAACACTTTGTCTTTCTCATTAAAAGTCCCACCGAGCAGACCGATGACTTCCCCATGTGACACGTGGGCATGCTGAGGATCACAGCACATTTAATCAATTTAGGAACAAGTTAAAAGAGACAATTATTCTATAATGAATTATGACAAAGAGAACTGGTGGTTTTGTAGAGAAGTCCTTGCTTTATAGGAAAGTAAAAGAACAGTAAATGTTAAGTTAATAAGCTCATGGTACATACAGCAGCCTGAAAATACCATCCTAAAGCAGATTAGGTCTTATTTTAACAATGGTTTTTGTCATATAGAAAACACAGCTCCTTAACAGTGAGCCAATACAAGATATCACATTGTAATAGACATGATACAAGATAATTGGAGAAAACGGTAAATAAAAAGAAGGAAAGAAAATTCTACATTATGTATAAATGTTTAAAATATGTTCAGATATTCACTTAAATCACAAATGAACAAACATCATCGATTGTAACCAATAAAA